AATAAAGCATTTTGAGCTTGTTATAAATTCAAACAGAAAAAGTAGTCTTACAATTCTAGTAATCAACATGATCATTTTGTAGAATTCTAATATTCTGCCATCATGTTACAGGCTGCTAAAATCTGTAACAACATGCTTCTAGCCATTGGAATGATTGGAACTTCGGAAACCATGAACTTAGGAGTCAGGTGAACACGCTCCTGGTTACAAATGATGTTGTATGATTGACAATCGACGCAGCATCGAGACTTTTTGGTAACTAACGCAGAATTTGTCTTCACTCAGACTTGGTCTTGATCCTAAACTGTTGGCCAAGATCCTGAACATGAGTTCAGGCCGTTGCTGGTCCAGTGACACCTACAACCCCGTGCCTGGAGTCATGGAGGGAGTCCCGTCCGGGAACAACTACCAGGGAGGCTTCGGCACACAGCTGATGGCGAAGGTCCGTTTAGTGACCTCTACTAAAAGCCTAAAGTTTTGCATTGCACTGCTTACATTGACAGAAACCCAATGTGTTTGTTTTTTTATCAGATTTTGGATTGTTGCAGAAAATGAACACCACTGGAATGGTTTTTGAATCGGAAATAAGTTATCAGAAGTAAAATCCTAACGTCCGGCTACGAACTGCTTCACGGCTGCTCTCTGCTGCCTTATCTAGCTCTACTTGTTCAACCCTTTTTTTTCAAGACTGATAAAAGATAAACATTAGGCATACAATTTAAGTTCTTGCCGTATTGCACAAAAACGTGTTTCGAAAGCAAAAAAACATTCTTATAACAATCGACCTGGTGAGAAAGAAACCGGAAAATCCCAAATGCTGTGTTTTAGCAATCATTCCTGCAGCCCGCCATGTATGCATCACAGTTGGAGAGTTAGACAAGAGCTCATTTCTGGGTTTTATGCTGTGACGGGTGGGGGGGTTGAGGGGGGAGGCGGCGTCATTTCTTGGATCACACCTAAAATGATGTAGGGAGCTACTCCGCAGTAGTTTTTCTTCAAATGCAATCAGGCCCATATTCTTACAACAGAAATGATCGTTGGTGTGGACTCATGGAGTTTGTTAAGAATAACGTTTTCTGCTTTTGTGGGGGGGTTTTCCCCTCTCTAACATATATATTTTTTTATTTTAGGATCTGGGCCTCGCACAGAACACGGCCACCAACACAAAGACTCCCGTCCCGCTCGGCTCCTTGGCCCATCAGATCTACCGTATGATGTGCGCTCGCGGTTACGCCAATAAAGATTTTTCCTCCGTGTTCCAGTTCCTGCGCGAGGAGGAGGGCGGCCAGTGATTTCCGCCTCCACCCGTCCACAACCTGGCCTGGTCGGGCCTGGCCATGCACGGGACCAACATAGCGTGGTTGCATTTCTCCCCCCGGGGCTTTCTTTTTTCAAAGTTGTGAAAGACATGAAATCAAGAGCTCCAATACAGCGTGAGCGATCGCGTGAGCACTTCTCATCCTATTGGAAATCATGTTTCCTGTGGGATCTATAGCCTACTTTAAAATGCAGCACTCCTCCTTTTTCAGTTTTAGAATAGTGAAGTGATGCACAGTGGATCCAAAGGATTAGTGGACTGTTTTTTTTTAAAGAGTCTGTTGTGAATCTTTCTTAAGAAGTTAGCTGTGTTTGTTAAAGCTGGACAACTGCAAACTTGGTTTAGTCTCCACATATGTATCTATTGTTTATCATTTCTTTATGTTGCTTTTCTTTTTCTGGGGTTACTTATTTTGACAATGGAAAATGTTACTTTGGGGTAAGAGTTATAATATCATATCCTGATGGTAAATAAATACAAATTGAAATGTCTAACTGTGAACAATGATTTGACCACTTTAAAACAGATTTTTTCTTCTCCAGATCAGGATAACTTGAGCTTAAATATAAAATATGATTTTTATTAAAGATATGGAAACATTGTATTTATTCTGTTGTTTCTGCCGAGTAGTGTAATAACACCTGACTTTAGTTCAGTTACAGTACTGATACATGGTGGAAAGCTTAGTATCTGAATGCGTTCACCTCCAGCGTCCAAATGCAGCCAAACCTCAGACATACGGAACACTTGTGATGGAAATGGCAATTTAAATGTGTGTGTGTGTGTGTGTGTGTGTGTTCGGACTCTGATTCGGACCCCCACTGCAACAATGTTCGCGCACGTCTCCGAGCGCCGTGTTACGGCACCCAGATGTCCCGGTGAAGCGGCCAAAGTTGGCTACTGCAGACGCAGATAAATTTGTGTACACTTTGCCAAAACATGTGTACACTTTGCCAAAACATGTGTACACTTTGTTCCAATTTTTTCAATTTTACAGCACAAATCCCCAATTGTCAAGGTTAGATTTTTATTTTATTTCATACTGCCTTTGACTAACAGTTGTAACTTACTGGTGCTTTGACGATTTTGTGATGCAGACTTGTTCTCTACCCCCACCTCGACCAGACCAGGAGGGCGGCATGTTTCTGATCTAGTTTGCCAAGAGCCACTGAGGGGCCCCGGCGCTCCAGGTCATGCGATCACAAGACAAACCCATAAAAAGTCCATTAAGCACAGTAGGCTGAGAGCTGTGTTGCCATCTATTTGATAGGTACCGCAAACTGAGGAGCACTTTGGATTTAGGCCTCCAACAAACTGACGCACACACACACACACGCGCGCGCACAGCCTGACATCATCTGCCACTGCTCACACGTCGTCCCTTGTGCGCAAAAGCTTCTTCAACACGTATACTTTGCATTCTGTCTGTTTTTGCCCACAAACCTCGTGATGACACGATTAATTTATTTTTCTTTGTATTTCGTTGCGTGCAATTTATTTTCTACGTCCAAATTTCTACGTAATTTAAAACGCAACAGGCGGTGGTGGTGGGTGTATTATTTTAAATGTTACATTCGAAACTGCTAAATTATTTTTTCAAATGGTGCAGTTCTAATCGCCTCCTTTCGGCCCGGTATTGTATTGTCAAAATCCAAATACACAATCAAGTTTATCCGTCAACCTTTTCTTATTTCATCACAACGCGTCAAAAGGATTTACTTAGTGTATTTGTATATTTTAGAAGTTGGAAAAAAATGGTAGGGTTTTAGTTATAATTGTGCGTCAACGTTTACGTGACATTTAGATCACCCCATCATTTGTCCGTTGTGTCCTCTGTCGACATTACTAATAACGTCCCAGTTAGGCTCTAAACTAACAACTAATCTTAATTATCATTGTCATTTCGTGTGTGTGTGTGTGTGTGTGTGTGTGTGTGTGTGTGTGTGTGTGTGTGTGTGTGTGTGTAACCATCCAAGTGGTGAGCGTGCGTCCTTGCTGAATTAAACATTAAAGAAGCCCATGAAGAGCTTGGAGGTCGTAACCTAAACCCTCTCTCGGACCACCGTGTGTCGGTCCGGTCCCGGCTGCTCTGTGCGGACAGCGGCCCGTTAGTTGAGGCAGACAGCCGCGCGCCGACGTGACAACAACGTGGGATCAGATCGTCCCTTTCGACCCAAAACTCACTTTTCGGTTTCATGCAAAAAAAATCGAGGAAAGTCATAAGCTACGATCCACCTGAAATGCATTAAATAAGAAAGACAATTTGTCCATCATCGGTCGGTTATCGTGACAACTCGTCAAATGTTTAATTCCGACGTGAAACTATTTCAACAACATGAAATATTACGCGTGTTGCCTGAGACCTCTTGCCTACAAGACTTGGCCCATAAAGATTTACAGCCTCAAAATGTGGGAAAACTCTATTAAAAATAAAAAGGTACTCGTATGTTTGCATTTCCCTGCGTCTGTGGTCTCACATTAGAAAGTAATACAAAGGTGAACTCACGATATGGTTTGACACTTCTCGTAACCTTTGCAGTGGCACACATTTATAGCTGAATGTTTTCCTCGCGTACAGCGGAATCTTTCACCGTTAGATTTCCTTGTTGCCCTACAGACTCCTGAAGGATGCGTGGAGCGTTTGAGCCCGAGCCAAGAGACGCGTTTTACGCAAAGACCCGTTGAAGAGCGGCGCCTCTTCCCCAACTCGCTTTCAGAACCTCAACAAAATAACATTTTTCTTGTATTTTGGCCATTTAATTCCAATGGATTTATTTGTATTGTCAACGCCCAAGTCTCAAAGGATTAAAGAAATAATAAAAACAATTTCATGGAATTTGTCATCAAAAACGAAATCTACAAAGTGTTTTAATAAAAGCTCCTCTTCCGCTCTGCGCTGTTTTCTCGTCGGGTGTCCTGGCGTGGAGAACCTATTGGGTCTCACTGCGACTTTCAACTTGACCTTGGCCTCCAGCCCGTCTAACCCTTATGAGCAAGACTGCAGCCAAATGCGGCGTGCTTTTAGTGTTTTAGTGCGCTAAATACGTGTCCCCGTTCCCCCGCTGCAATGCCAAATGCAAGCAAGATTCAAATGTAATTTATGTTGGTATAGTGCGCATTGGTATAGTAAATATAACACATCAATCTGTGGTTATTTAAGAATTATTTAATAAGATCATGGTACATTTAGTTAAATAGTTGAATGACGTGCCAACAAAGCTCCAGTCTTAAGACATGTAATTATAGAAAATCAGAATATCTGAAAGACTTGTTCCACTCTTCGAGTGCTTGTGAAAACGAAATGGCACGCGTAATTACGCATTAAGTTCTCCATAGATATATTATACATATTACTAGTTTTGTTGCGCCTTGTAAGACACATGCGTCAAATACGCTTCTTGGGATGTCACTTCACGACACGCAACATTGCCTCTGCATCAAAGTTCCACTCAGTTTGAGATCCCAATAAACCTGTGTTTAGGAAAAATATATCCTCCGAAAAAAAACACAGATATGTACATCCTTACAAGTACACAGTTTGATCTAATGTCTAGATGTCTACCATCTCCTTTGCATATCACGTGCTTGGCCCTGGCCAATAACCTTGCGATCTTTATGGACTCAGGCGTGTTGGTATCGTTACTCTGCCCGAGTCCCTGTCTCTGTTCATTCGAAGGGGATTTTGAAAAAGAGTTAGTCGTCTCGATGTAGGTGCATGCTATGACCGCTTCATTACTCCTCCACTCGCACTGGATTGACCCGGTGATGTTTCTCTACGACAACGGCTTGGAGGACAGAAGCAAGAACATGGAAGGCTTCACTGGAGGCAATTTCGCAGCAAACCAGTGCAGGAATTTGTTAGCGCATCCAACCTCGCTGGCTCCGAGCACCACCTACGCTCCGAGTGAGGTGCCAGTCTCTGGCATGGGGGAGCCGGGCAAACAATGCAGCCCCTGTTCCGCCACTCAGAGCTCGCCCAATGCATCTTTGCCTTATGGATATTTTGGCAGCAGTTATTACCCGTGCAGGATGTCACACGGCAGCGTCAAGGCTTGCGCGCAGCCCTCCGGTTATGGCGATAAATACATGGACTCCTCGGTCACTGGCGAGGAGTTCTCCAGCAGGGCAAAGGAATTTGCGTTTTATCAGGGCTATTCGTCTGGTCCGTGCCAGCCCAGCTACTTGGACGTCCCCGTTGTACCTGCGCTAAGTGCTCCATCCGAGCCAAGACATGAGTCTCTGCTGCCCATGGAGCCCTACCAGCCATGGGCCATCACCAATGGTTGGAGTGGTCAAGTTTACTGCAGCAAGGAGCAGCCGCAGTCAAATCCTCTGTGGAAATCCTCGTTACAAGGTATTTATTTTATTGTGTTTTCTATACACACACACACACACACACACACACACACACACACATCCATTACACATGAACGTTGAAAAATATTTGCATGCAATGGTCAAATGTAAAACGCCTTTATTTCTCTGTTGATATTCAATAATACGCAAAAAGAAAAGAAAATAAAGACGACGGAACAAAACATTTTCGTTTTCTTTCTGATGCTTTCGAAAAGGTTTGAATCTGATTTTTTTCAATGTTTCTTTCACAGACAGTATATCTGGTGGAGACAGCTCTGTCCGGCGTGGGAGAAAGAAGCGTGTGCCATACACCAAGGTGCAACTCAAAGAACTGGAAAGGGAGTACTCCGCCAATAAATTCATCACCAAGGACAAAAGGAGGAGAATATCCGCGCAGACAAATTTAACAGAGAGACAAGTGACAATCTGGTTTCAAAACAGGCGCGTAAAGGAGAAGAAAGTCGTCACTAAATTCAAGAGCTCCAGTTAGCTCTGGAGTTACTGAAGCGGGGGGTGACGGACCTTCATCCAAAAAGCTGGCCTATAATTTATTACAATATCAACGGTTTCTTGGTTGCCAGAGCGGCTCTGTTTTTGAGCTACAATTTTCCTGCCTCACGTTTTAATTGAAACCAGTCGATGCAGCCTGTTGACAGAAGATCGGAAATGGGTTGCAACATATTGACCAAGGCGATTCTGCCCGGATCTCCTTCAAAACATTCACCATATAATAAAACTGTCGGTCTCAAAGGCACAAGTCACCCCGAGTAAGCCTGCGCTTTAATTTCATTTAAACCAGTCCGGAAATTATGTCTGGAATATTTAAAATGGTATTTAGACATTGATCCTGTGACAAACCAATGCGGTTGAACTGGCGGATTCAGTTTACTAAACCTCTGATCTGAAAACAAGCTAAATTTAAGAAGTAATTGAATAATCCAAAATGAATTTCTAACATTAAATCAACGGGATACATCAGGTATATACATATATAGAGAGAGAGAGATGCGGATCTTGTCATTTTCATACATATTTTCACCGGATTACATTCAACACTAATAATAATGGCCTACAACACTTTACAAAAATTGTTTTTTGTGAACTCATTCATGAGCTCACAGTACATCCCAAGCCTTTCCGTTTGGAATGAGCCTCTATGTCAGTATCTGATTCAAACGTTATGAAACGTTAAACTAGTCTGAGCATTTATTGGTTATTCCCACACTTTGTCCATGTTACTGTCAGGTTTTTTTTTCAGAAAAAGACGGACCTTTGCTATTTCAATCTGTCAGTCAAAAAGAGTACTGGAAATGTAAGCATATTTAAATACTTTCTGACTGCAACTATCTATTCCCGATTTTTTGACTGCAATAGCCAACGTTTTTTTGACAATAAATGTTTGAGAGATGCTGCCCGATCTTGTCATTTTTATTCATATCATTGGACATAGGTGCTTGATCAGTCAACAATCTTTATAAAACCTGATTATCTTGAGGAGGGCGACAGGCCGGCAAGAACTCAGAGCCTCTGTGTGCTTCAGCACATCAAGAGTGAATGTCGCCATCTAGTGGCGGAGCCTTGTCAGCACAGTGCCCTACATGGGCCGCTATAGGTTTGCCTCTTCTTCTTCAGACGCTGTGTGTGCGTGTGCGTGTGTGTGTGCATACGTTTGTATGTGGAATGATTGCTTATTTATTGCTTACTAATTTACTCTACAAACCGTGTCATAGTTCAACTTCGAGTTTTGAAAGAACACAAAATATAATTTCGTTTTTGAGATTCTATTCAAATATGTTTAAGATACGGAAAAAGGTATTAGCTCAGCTCAGATTGGAAAAAGCATATTAGATTAAACCTTGTCCTGGCACAAACCCCATGACAATGATGGCTCATTAATTCAACATCTAATTGTTAACTGAAAAAATATATATATGTTACATTCTGATTTATCAAATAGCGTAAGTAAGTAAATGAGAGGCGTGAGAGAGTCGGTGTACAGGCCTTTTAATCCCCGGTCCAAACAAACCCGCTATTACGCACATCTCACAAGAATATCTATTTGTCTTTAACTAAAATTAATTATCTTATAATTTATTGTTGCGAGATCTTGTTGCATATCAATTCACATAATTTTCAGAAGCAACTAAAACAACAGAGAAAGATATTCTGAAATGTAATCTCAAATTAAAGATATTAAATACCACAACCACCGCATTGCACAGACCTTTTGCACAAACACCTTTTGGATTGCACAAACACAACAACAGAAAGGCATTTTGTCAACTTTTACTGGCTCGCCGGACTCGTGTTGATGAGATTATTCTTCAGGCTCGTTGACATTGAGTGCCTTTTTAAATCTTCTGGCCCCTCTGTTGTTCTGCGGCATTGCTCCCCCTAACAACCAAACAGATTAATGCAACTCACCGAAACGCGTAAGAGCACTAGTAGCCAAGTAATTCATATTTGAAGTATCGAGTACCTTCACAATCTTGGTAAAAACTGGAGAGATTAAACCAGAAGATTTAAATAATCACTTTAGAGCTGAACGTTTTCTCTCTTTATCTGTGTGTGTGTGTGTGTGTGTGTGTGTGTGTGTGTGTGTGTGTGTGTGTGTTTCTTTGATCGTTCTACAATGAACCTCTGACAGGAACTCGACGGTTTAAGACACATTTTAATTGAGGATGAAGTAAGACGCTACCTCTTGCAATGCTGCGTCTCCAGATGTGTGGATTAACGGAAGGATGAATTTGTGAATCCAGGTTTTTGGGTGCAGCAGCATTAGAGGGTGCACCACTTCCGGAAAAGTCCCCCATTGCCCCCCTCCCCCATAGAGCTGTCAAACTCCATCGTCTCTTCTGATGTGTGTTACTGAAATGTATTTCCCCTCTCATAATCCAACAGCTATGAATGAACCAGTTATCAGTTTCATTCATTTGTAAAAACATACTTTTTCATTCAGAGGGATTTTTACTAATGTAGTTGCAGAGCAGCCAACTTAAAGTCGTAAAAAAAGAAAACCCTTCCTTTTGAGTAAATGAGTTTGTAGGTCAACAACGTCCAAAGTCATCGTAATTATGAAATTGTGGTGGGATTTAGAAAGATTTTGCGCTTTATGATGGTGATCCAAAACCTGTTCTGTTTTATTGACAGCTGGATTCCCATTAATAGAGCTTTAATGCTTTTTTGTTTGCACCAGCAATGTTCACACATTGAAACTGGATGCATTTATCATCTGTTTTAAGCTCATAAACCCTTAAATTAGGTAACATAAATATAAGCTAGCTTTAGTTTATTTATTCAGCACGTATCTGACTAATTGGGCCATCACATTGTAAATCGTATACGGCAGATCTTACTTAAATATTATAAAATGGTCCCTTGTGAAATGGACTCGGTAAAGGCAGCAGGAGCACACTGATTTTCAGGCAATTAAATTACACCACAGCGCTCCTAAGGTGTCGAAGGAAAATTCTGAGCAACCAAAAAAAACATGCTTTTATTCTTAAAATTCCCTTTAGTGGGCTCTTAACAGCAGTGGCCGCTCTAAACGTTTTTCATACCCTCAGATTTACGTTTGCTTTACTGGAATAAATAAGATATGTATGCTTCTGAGCTGCAGCCATGCGGCCACTGTTTTCGATCGCTTCACCTTCAGTGCACGTGAAACTTTTGAGGCGTCTCAAATTCAAGTGATTGTCTGGGAAATAACAAAAAGAAATCAACAAACTATACTTTGCTGTGTTAATGAACTATTTGTGTATGATTTAGCTCATTCTCGGAAATGTCCCATTTTGCTATATAAAGCGTATCAATGGGCATCATGAAAATAGAAATTGCACATTTATTTTCATTGATACAACAACCGGCTGGAGGTTGCGTTCTGCTTGTATACGCGATAGCAATGAAAACCTTCTCACCAATAGTGTGCACGTGCATCCACTGGCGCGGGTTAAACCGTGTTAACCCTATCGGGCTTAATTAAGTGTGGTTGAAATGGTTTGAAAACTGTAGTTAAAGGGGCTTTAATTTGACCAACGGGGCCGCTCCTGTAGCCTTGGCCCGAAGGCTGGCCCACCGCACGAGCGGCTGAATAATTCGCTGTGAAACGAAAAAGGAATTGTCGTCAAGTTTACCGCGTAAAACTCTTTAAACCACCAAAGAGTTTAACATAATAACTCACCGTTGAAGTCGATCATCAAACCGTTGGCAGAATGAAATATCACAGTTTCCTAATGCGTCCCTGCACATGATAAATTCACGAGCTTTGATGTATGAAACGTGAATTTGGACTAAATCCTTAAATTGGCAGTATAACAGGATTAGTGATATGTGACACATGTGCCCACTTACTCAGCAGTGATGACAAATGAAAGTGCATTGGAGAGTGGGAAATAGCCCGTGTCCGAAGGTTTTGGGCGTTGCGGAGAACAGAAGATGCAAAGACTGGAGCCCCTTTTGGCGTATATGCCTTTATTATTTGTCACCAATAAACAGCATCATACGTTTATATGAGACGGTAAATACATGCGCGTATGTCGCCTGATTAGCCCCTGCATTCACTTCTGGACCTCTTATCAACCTTTACGCGCACACGCGGACGCGATGCGCGTGCACGCAGACAACACTTTGGACCCAGTGAGGTCGAGCTGGCTTGCTTCAACGATGCCGAAATGCTGGTCCGAACAACCGTACAGCAACCACAGATATATCAAGGCTGTCTTGTACAGGCCTTTGTATGCGTCCTCGGCGCCAAACTGGACTGATGCCTGACAAAAGTGCAGCACGACTCGCATTGCTCTATCACTTGGAGGACTAGAGGAGTCTATATATAGCCAGAGGAGCGATATTAAATTCACAAAGAGAGGCGTCGAAATCAAACCGCGCATCTGCTCCGATCGTTACATCATGTCGGTGTATTTTATGGATTTAACTTTGCCTCATAAATAGTTTCGGCATTTTCTTAAAAACAATACCTGTCATGTTGGATTCATGGGTTTCGCTGTTTTCGACTATTGAATATGTATTTTTGCCGTTGGGATTAAGTCTCACATGCGTAGCAGAGTGCCTCGCTTGTTCTAAAAATGTCCTGGTCTGGTTTCAGACGTGCCCTTCAGAGGTTACGCTTTGGGTTAAGGTGAAGGCTGTCTCCAAAAACGAACCTAAAGGTACAAACGGCAGGTACACTAGCTTGGCGTGATCTCGTCCATAGACTTTTGTTTTGTTATACCTTTACGTGGTAATTTAACGACAGTTAAACAATCCACAGAAGAATATCATTCACGGGCGTTCTTCATAGCCCGATTTTCAAAAGGCGTTTAAAAAAAAGCCCAAATTGTGCAAGATTGTGCCAAATTCCTCTCAGTATTCCCCTTTCCCAAAGAGCCGCATGTCTGCTTCGCGGCCCCTTTGACTCATATAGACTACACATTGAGGCGTAGGCTATCTGTCATTTTGTGCCAGTGGTCACATGGCTTTTGGCCCTCAGGAATGGATAGAGATGGATCCCCACGTCAGCTTGTACGTCTAAGGATTTCTGCTCCTCCAGTCTGCCTCAAAGTGGCTGAGCGCAGCGCGGCGGAGGAACTATGCGAGGACCATTATAGGACCGTTTCCAACCGCCGAATATGGATTTTAATGAGCGGATTTCTAGCTCCAATATGTATTTACCAAGCTGCACTTACTATGTCTCCGGAGCGGACTTCTCGAGTCTCCCACATTATTTAACCCAGAGCCAGTCCTCGTGCCCCATGACCTACCCTTACCAGTCCTCAGCCCTGCCACAGGTCCCGTCCGTGAGAGAGGTGGCTTTCAGAGACTATGGGATTGACACGTCCAATAAATGGCACCACAGCAGGGGGAGCTTGTCGCACTGCTACCCGGAGGACCTCGTGCACAGGGACGGTTGGACGAGCCCAACTTCACGGGGGGGAGAGATCCTGGTGAAAGGCATCTCCGGCGGCAGCCACCCCGGCGCCTCCAACCCGCCGCCCGGCTTCCACGGCAGCATCGGGCGGAACGGCGTCCTGCCGCAGGCGTTCGACCAGTTCTTCGACACCGCTTACGGGAGCGCGGAGACCAGCGCGACGCCGACGGCCCCGGCGGCGGGCTCGGACAGACACGCCGCCAAAGCGAGTCCCGCTCCGGCTCATCCGTGCTCGGACATGGCGGAGAGCTGCAGCCCCAAGTCGTCCTCCGGCCACAGCGAGGACAAGCAGAGCAAAAGCAGCGGTGAGTAACCCCGCTGATCGCGAGGAGGAGGAAAATCCAAACGCGTTGCTCTTAAAGCTTTTTTTTTTATATGCTGTTTTATAAGCACGTAAGGTTTATGGAGGGCCGTGCAGATTTGCCCTCTAACAAAACAATGTTATAAACTGCAAGATCACGTGCTTGGGAATGAAATTGGCCGTGAAGACTTTGGCGTTAAGCTCGTCTTCCAAGATTTTAAACAACCTTGCCACTTTTTTTTTCTTCTACACAAGCGCGTTTAAATATCCGTGTATAGTTATAGACTCGATGCACATGGCAAATAATACACAATAATATTTATGTCAATACCTGCAATACACGTGGCTTTAATTATTTATAACGTTACTTTTTTACGTATATATTTTGGATGTATAATTTGGTTTATCCTAGATTCTCCTGAGGCATTTAAATGGGGTTTTGGCCCAGATTAGGGTTTAAACTCTGCTCCTTATTCAAAGATAAATATTTACAGCTCAAAGGGATTTGTGGGGATTTCATTCAACAACTGCTTTTCCTATAATTTGCAATCACTAACACTAAAACCACAACGGCTCTCTGCGCAGAGGGGAAATCTAAAGCGGACAACATAAGCAGAGCAGATACATGATACTCAGGACTTTTTTCTTTGGCCCACGCGCTCATTGTTAAAAGCCAGCCGGTGTGCTTTTATTGATTTCACAACTTCCGACGTGTAGTGCCTCTATGTCCGACATGTCCAGTCTTTGTTTACCAATCTCGGCCATGTTGGGCCTGAGAGGAGGGAAACACTTGAACTCTAAAGCTCCAGCAGACCACCACCAGAGCAGCAAATGGACCCATGATTTCATGTTGTTTTAATGTCTCTGTATCTCATGTGGTGACCTTTTTTATTTATGTATCTCTCAGGTGGCCAGAGGACGCGCAAAAAGAGATGCCCGTATTCAAAGTATCAGATCAGAGAACTGGAGAGGGAATTCTTTTTCAGCGTTTACATCAACAAAGAGAAGCGCATGCAGCTCTCCCGCATGCTCAATCTGACAGATCGACAGGTCAAAATCTGGTTTCAGAACAGGAGGATGAAGGAGAAGAAACTGAACAGAGACCGTTTACAGTACTACACCACGAACCCCCTGCTATAAACACTGAACAAAGACTGTCACTGACGTGCAGCCATTCAGCCAGTCACCAAGACTATACACTGCTGCATATTTTAAAGGATGGCGGATTTTTAACGTGGGCACTTCATATACAATTGTATAGTATTTATACACTATTTTGTCATTACGCACCGTTGAAAGTATTATTATTATTAATTATAAAGAACATGGCTGTTATTCAGCCTGCCCAACAACCAACAGTTTTCTCATGGTTAAAATGACGTGGTTGCGTGGTGTGCTCAAGCGGAAAGCCTTGTGTCGGGATTCATTTTTGTTTAATTTAATAATAAACGGATATTACTGTGCCGTCATTTTTTATTTTCTATTTTCTTCAATTTTATGGATTCTGAATTCGTTCATATTTACGCACGGAGCTGTTCTCTTTACACCAAAACTACTGTCCGTGTATTTTTTTCTTCAGTTTCTTGTAATATTTTAACTTTATTGTAAAAAATACAACTCCGGTGACTATAAACCTATTTTGTGTGTTCATGAATCAGATCTGACCTGCCACTATTGGCGAGAAACGTTGCCCCCTAAATGACCGCTCAACGTTTCAAAGTTGGAGAGTGAGTCCAATTATAAAATGTTATAGCAATTCATCTACTCCATGCGTTTCAAGCGTGGTGATCGTGGATATATAACATCTGCGCTTGATCCTTCGTTGCAGGCGTTTAGCTGAGCTATTGGCCGTAATTATTCCCCAACTTCACCCAAAGAGCCAACCGCTGATAAAAGAGCGAAACCCCCTAATGAAACACGATCCAATATTTTATTTCAGATGCCAGCACGTGCACCGTATCAGCTTCATGATGTGTAGGTTTGGTGCTTTTTATTTCCTCATGACTGGAAATGGGATCCTGTGCAGTTATTGTTTGATATCCATTACAAAGAGGTCAGTCATTTCTGGGGCGATGAGGAGAGACTGCTTTCTGACCTAACATGCCTGTTAGGCACAGAATCCTGACACTTGTTTGAATGCAGATATGTAACAGGCCGTGCTACTTTGCAGATCAAGAATTTATTTGTGTGATTATACCCTCATCAAAGTAGTTACACTTTATCAATTGCATCCACCGCGAGTGCGAACCCATCAGGCGGGGACACTGGGGCAAATACCCATTAAGCATCCCTATCTGCTCATTAATTTATCACCTGGAGCCCTTTAATCCAAATATGCATGTGTTTGATGCTATGCATTTAGACTACGGGGGTTTATGTTAGCCTACGGGGGAAGGTCAAATGAAGCCGTGCGCATAATGAGATGGGTAAAATTTGGCTCTAGGTGGCTTTGTATCCACCACCAGTCCCCTGAAAACAACTTCAATGGTCTACCATAATCTAATAATGGCCCTGATGCCTTCCTTATACTGTGCATCCTGTGAGACTCCCAGGAATTCGGCTTTGATTGCTGCACATCCTCCCAGTTGCTCCAGTAACTTGGCCATAAAAGGCGGATTCGTCTGGAGCATTTGGAGTGCAGTGCAATAAAGCGTCTGAGACCAAGGTTATTAACTGTGACTATAGGGGCTGAATACAACGGCCGGGAGCATTGGAGGCTTGTGTTCACGGACCTTTCCGGCGTCATTTCTTTCAGCATCGGACCGTCGTAGGATTATTCTGCGCTTGTGTCGTGCTGCATTGTGTTTCGTGTCCTGTTCATCCACTGGGTGGCGCTGCTCAGATCAATGTCATTGCCATGAATTGAGATATAAAAGACGTTTGACTCGCATCTCGGCTGCTTTAAAAAAAGGCACCATCGGAGGATTTCACCAATACGGTATGGACTGAGATGTTAATGCTTCCACTGCCTAATGTTTGCTAATGTGATTCAAGGTGTTGGCTTCTGTTTTTCTATTTGGTCGCGCCTTCATCTGAAAACTGTACAGCGCTATTTTATCATTTTGAGCACCACAGATGCTACGATACCCTGAAAGCAAAACCACCTGAAGGAAATAGTGAACATCAAATCCAGATGTTATTGGTCCGAGTGACCAACGTGTACTGACCAATAAGATCAGTCCAGGGCCTACATTTTAAATATTGCGTTGCTCACTGAGCTTTGCAATTACAGTTTATAAAGTATAGTACAACTATATTTTGTTCAAACTTACATTGGACATGTGTCGTTTATTGTTTGTTAAACTTGCGTGTTTCTTCATATGGTTCGTTACTTTGTGTGTGTCATTTTGCGTGCCTGCATGGACACAAACAGAGAGACATTAAGACAAAAAAACAGTCAGTTTGGGATTTTATCAATATGTCTAACAAATAACTTTTCTAACTTTTCATTTTTAATGAGTTAAAAACGTTTTATGGGAATAATGACACAATAGCTCAACGCATTATCCACGGGTTTAATGATTAGTATCATTCATTTCAGCGAGACATGCTGCAGAATTGATGTCAAATGAAATGGCTGATTTCTAGACTGCATGGCTCCAGACTTACAGGGAATACAGTTATCCAATTGTGAAGCTATTCCAACCACGTTTTCAGACATTTTTAGGCTGGTCTAAATCTGTAGGCCTGTGTTTTAAACTCCTGATAACACTGACGGTCTTTTCCACGATTGTGTGTGAGTATTTCCGTTTTTTATTTTATTTTGAATAAAGTCTACAAATGTGTGTACACTCGTTGGTAACAAATATCCCCAGACCATGACGAAATTACAGTATGTCTAATTATTATTTTTATTTCAATTTCAAACTAAATTTTAAATTACAAACGTACTATATTTTGCAGTCAGATTTGTTTGTGTTTTTCTTTATGTGTATCTTTCTCATTCACTTCGAATTCTGTTCATTTGTTCATAAAAGGACAAAACCAAAGGGATAAATGATAAAGATCTTTCAACAATACAACGAACGAATAATTAAAACAAAAAAAAACGTTTAGATTGTGAATTTAGCATTTTATGCGTTGGTGTAATGGGTAATAGGAGTTGATCTGAAATAAAATCACAAAGGAATTGTGTGAAATAACTGTATGCTTCTTCATACATGACAGAATGGTTTTTTAAGAGGTAGAGTAAGAACAAGATTTTAATGTTCTACGAACATCTACGAGTTATAATGCCATCTCTGCTGTACCAAACTACATCACTTTCAATCCTGCCAATATTAAGGGGTCGTTAAGTTCCATTGGCGCTTACTTCGCGTTCCTGCGTGTCACCTTTAATAAATGCTCAACAGAGCCTTTGTAGTATAAGGTGTCTGGGCGCAATCATGGCATGCACCCAAAACCTTCACACCCCAATCAGATAAGTTGGATGGCTCTAAAGGAAGTGACTTTGCGCTGGTTCAAATGGCGTGTTCGAAGGTGTCAAGATGAAACACTGCCTTGGAGAGTCCAGGTATTTAAAAAACAGCCTCATAATAGTCATCGGAGCAGGACCAGGAGGGTTAAAAGTCCCACGACCAAAAGAGTCACGCAGGACCTTTCGGATCTTTGATGCACCCTGTGCTTCTCTCAGGGGCACCCCTGGAACCCTTCATTTTTACTGTGCTGTAAAACTGGCCATAAAGCTCTGCATTGTATATAATTGTTAGGGACAGCTTTCAATAACCGAGCTGTCATATGGGTTGTTGTTAAGTTCACACACGCAGCCCTGGACCTATAGATGCAGGAACGAGGGGTCATTATGCAAGATTCAATAAGGGATCTGAAGGTTTTACGTAACCCCCCCCTGCTGCATCACCTTCTTCTCTATTCTGGTCGCTTAAAAACTAAAACAAAATATACGACAGCCTGGTCGGACTGGGAGGAGTCTGGAGTTGCCTGGTGTTTTAATTGGCTGCAGGCTACAGAGAGAAGCGTGAGTATCAGTAATTATTCAGCAATGTTTTTGCACAAGAAATGTCCGCCAGAAAGGGCTATCTTCATCCTCCGTCGAATTATACCACAACGATGACATGCCCCAACAACCAAGCAGGGAATTCGTTTTTCGTGGACTCTCTAATAAACGTGAGAACCGACAGCGGTTCGTATTACCAAAGTAACGGGGTGTATTTGCCTCCTGCGTCGGAATATACCTATGGACTCTCCGGTGGCTCCTGTTTCCCGGGGATCGGTAAGCGCAACGAGCCGAGCACGCAGAGCGTGATCCCGTCCTCTGCTCCGTATGTCCAAGGGATGGAAACGTGGCTGGAAACGTCGAGATCTTGCCGGGTGGATCAACCCGGCGGGCACCACATGGGCCAGTGTTCATTCTCACCGAATATCAAAGAGGAGAGCGCGTACTGCCTTTACGAGTCTGACAAGTGTCCCAAAGGACGAACGGTGGAGGACCTTTCCTACTCGACTGCATCGTGCCCGGTTACCGGCAGCACGTTACCGGTCCCGGGCTACTTCCGCCTCTCTCAGACATACGCGTCCTCCAGGCTTTACCATGACGTCCAGCCCAACGTGAATCACTTTACCCTTCCACGACCTACCCACTTGGACAGCCAGCCCCAGACTGCTTCTGCTGATCTGGAGCGGAGGGAGAGCCGCCAGGAGGCGCCTGTCCCCGAGCCTTGCGCCCCGGCTAAAGAGGAGGACAGCCGCCCCTCCACGGAGCGCTCATCCTCCCCGGAGCCCGAAGAGACCTGCAGTGCGGAGTGTCCGGAGACGCCAGCCAAAGGTGAGGATTAAACGAATCGATGGAGACGTTGTAGAAGCATTGCCGACGGCGTAAAGGTGGATGCGCATCAACTTCTTTGGGTTTCTATTGTTCTATTTCCACCAATGATTTCTAACCACAGATGAACGCGACAGCGTACGTTAGTCGAAATTGAACGTGACTTAACCAATCAGAGCCGAAGAACCAATCTTTTGTTCTTCAATAGCTGCATTTAAATGACGAATATGTTGCTATAGCTGCGCTTTATGACAATGCTTCAAACTGACCACGTTGTTTTATTTTAACAGGCAATTCAAAGCCCTTTTATTATCTTTATTAATATTTCATTTTTATGCTATTAGGGTAATTTTCCCCATATTCAAAGGGACACACCGTGCTATCATGTGCATGCTACATGTTTTATGTGATGATAATGGTGGACTTGGCACGCTGCTTTGTGAGAGAAATAGTTTCTGGTAAAATCTCAATTGCAGTTGATATTCACGCAGTTATGCAGTCGTGCGTAAAATCAAATAGAACATACAAATCAGTGTTTATAAGGGTTGTTTATAAGGGTATTTAGGCTATATGATTGCGTGGTATGTGTCACCTCAAGCTTAATAATGTATAAAATTACATCTTTATTGGTAAAACACACAATTGCATTCATTTGACATGACAGGTTTTCTTAATTATGTTTTTTTGTAATGTTATTAGACTCATTTTTCTCGGCGTGCTTCCAGATCCGAGGTTTGTGTATTTTTTTTCTCCACCTGTTGCACAATAAATTCTTTAATTTTTTGCAGGAGATGGAAAAACGGAAGGCACGGCCAACTGGCTCACAGCTAAGAGTGGTCGAAAGAAGCGCTGCCCCTACACCAAGCACCAGACTCTGGAGCTGGAGAAGGAGTTTCTCTTCAACATGTACTTGACTAGAGAGCGTCGTCTGGAGATCAGCCGCAGTGTGCACCTCACTGACAGGCAAGTCAAAATCTGGTTCCAAAACAGGAGGATGAAACTAAAAAAAATGAGCCGGGAGAATAGGATCCGAGAGCTCTCCGGTAACTTTAGTTTCTCATGAGACTGCTGCGACTTTGGCGCCCTCCTCCATCTCTGGAATGGGCGCCTGTGCAGAGCCCCCAAACCCAACTGTGAGAATATCCATGGGAAAAAGGATCCCACTGCTAACTTATTGATTGTTGTTCTTTCATATTTTCAATTCCGTTTTTATTTAATCGTGAATGTGTATTTATAAATTGCTTCATTTGTAACGTTGATCCATTGTGTTTAATGGTGTGCATAATGTGACCACAATGTTTCAGACCTTCAGGCTTGTACATATTGTATAGTCACCCTGAGTGGACTTTGCATGCAGGACTAACTCTTGGGATACTTGTGTCACATGTGATAAATGTAATGTGACAGCAAAGGAGCCCGAGAGCTTTGAGGAATATTTGCACATTTTTCTGGTCAAAATAATAAAAGCATCCCTGCAACTGTATACTTCTTATTTCTTTCAGACAGATGGAGCTGCGTTTGAATTTTAAACCTGCACATCAGTGCAGGGTGTTAATGACTTTGTATTTTGGATGGGTCCGCTCTGAGCACTGTAAATAAGAACAGTGGATGTTCTTCATAGTTTATGTATCTGGCGGATTTGCACGCTATGCCGTTCGTCCTTGACATCATACTTAAATGCAAACCTCACAACGAGTGCAGCGATAGTGTGTTTTTTCTCGTTGTTTTTATTTAAAAATAATAAATTTAATATGCCGTGGGTCCTTGCTGCAAAAATAAGTCAAACACTAATCATTATCTTAAATGATCAATTGTGATCTGGACAACCTTAACTAAAAAAGCCCAAAACTGTTTGAGAATACGGTCTGCCTGCGCAGTCTTTTTTGCTTTTACAGTGTTAAATATATATATATTTTCAGGGAAACCTGTAATACGAGAAATGGGATCCTTTCCACACTAAAACATCGAAATTGCCGGAGAGGAGAGCGGGCTGTTGCGTGGTTTAGGTAGTCTCATGTTGTTGGGCTATTATATTTCTCCCACAACACGAAACTGCCTTGATTACCTCAGTAAAACTCGTCGCATCATGAAAACTAAATTCCTATTCATTACTGGACAATTTTAATCATAATTTGGACCGCACTGCTTCACACACATACATATTATTATTGCGAAAATTGCAATAAAGTGTTTCATTGTTGTGCGTGAAATGTTATGTTTTTTTTTTGTCATGGGTGTTTCCATTATTCAACTACATATGCATATATGCATATACATATAAATTCTTATATGTATATACATATGTTCACACATATATTTACAAATTCGTCTTTCTCAAGTGTTTTTATCAACCCTAAAGTTTTAAGACCAGGGACTGTAAAGCGCCTATGATCCAAGCGAAAAAAAGAGAAGATGCAGGCTGGAAAAGGAGAGGATTAAGGCGTGTATGTGTCTGGGGGAGGAGAGGACAGACAAGGCCTCGGTTATGACCATTGCAGTCTGCCAGTTGTCTCGTCGTAGGAAATGCCGGATGCGTCTGCTTGCACCAGAGAAAGGACACAAAGGCTGAGCTTTATTGGTGATATTTAGCTTAGACAGCCAGGTTGTAACCTTAAGAAAAACAACCCAATTGCCCGTGATAAAAGGACCGTTATATAGCACCCAAATAACCTCGCCCCACTCTCCGTTTTTAGATTGCTTTCAAACCCACAAACCTGTAGACACTGGGTAGCACATGTTGGGAGCTGTTTTGATATTTTAATCCCCAGTAATGGTTTGGACACATTTCTGCACGTTTTACTTAATTTATAAAAACCTTGGTATTTTTAAACCAGCCGCTAAACCACCAAAAATGGGGTTGGACGATTATTAACGGACACCATTAAATTAGTCAATTAATTCATTAATAAAATAATCACATCCACCACACCTTTTTAGGATGTGACAATTTGACGTTGTAAAGTGTTTTAAAGTCGCCCCCACCCCTAACACAAACTCCACTCACACACACTCCTTTGTATCACACTATGTTCGATTACACTAATATAAGATCTATTGACAGAAGTTATAACTTTTATTGCTTATGAAACAAAATATTTCCCAATAAAGGCTTGAGGATTTCCCATTAAAATATGGTGGGGAAAATGGTGGCCATTTAGTTTAGCAGCAGGCTGATTTATTATTTATTGTTCTGTCCCACGGTCACGTGTTTGGGGCACCCTATCCAGTCTTGGGCAAGGTCCAATTTTCTGGACGCATTGAGCCCCTAGCTGATGCACGAAAGCAGTACATTTTATTCAATGAATCAGATTTTTCTAAACATTGCAACACAGTAACATATTCCATACATATTTTTGGGGCTTTTGCATTTTCGCAATGTCGACGATGGGGAGTTATTACGTTGAATCGCCTCTCATTTCCGAGCAAGAAGACATGGCACCGAGGTACTCGTCGTCTGCAGGGGTGGAGCAGGCGATGCTCTCCGGATATGGCGGTCAGGAATCTTTCCCTTTGCAGGCAAAATCTTCTATTTTTGGTGGATCTTGGAGTCCTATCCCGACACACCCTCCAAACACAACGGCTCCGACCTATATACACCACCACTACACGAGCGGGGACAACGATGGTATGTTTACGCGCTCCTGGGCGTTGGATCCGGTCTCTGCGTCGCTGTGTTTGACGGGATTACCATCGACAACCATGCATTATGACATAAAACCCGAGCCTATGATCGGGACTGCTGAATGTACGACGTTGGAGACGCACACACCTCTTTTGTCTGACATTGAAAATGGAGCGTCCCTTACGGAGATTTCCTGCGAAAGCACTTCTACATCTAAAGCCACTGAAGATAAACCGTCAGTAGAAGACAAGGAGGAGATAAATGCAAGTAAGACTATTCTTTTTATTCCAGTTACTCATTTGGATTAATGCAAATGACATGACATGGTTTAAGATGAGGGGGATTGTTCTTCAGGCTGTTCAGTGTGGAAATGGTAATAAAATTGTAGTGTGCAAAGAAATCCGATAGTCTAATTGCACAGTGAAAGCATCTTCTGCGAAAAGATAACGTATGCATATCAAAGGTAATTACACAGTCTATTTCTATAGTTTGGTTTTAAGGAACTGTTGACTTTTACAAACATTTGGAATTTAGTCAGCTCTCAAATGCGCAGTGTAAATAAATCAAAAGCAATTTCTATTAAAACTATTCCTTTGCAGGTAAATTCCTTCCCACGTCATAAATCAACCAAAATTAAACCAATGGCTGTTTTTGAGTCTTATTCTGGTGGCATTAACTCCCCTGTATTATTGTTTTGCCCCCCCCCGTTTGTTTGCAGACGACCCATCGTCCAACTGGCTTCACGCGAAGCCCTCCAGAAAAAAGCGTTGTCCATATACAAAGCATCAAATCCTAGAACTGGAAAAGGAGTTTCTGTTCAACATGTATCTCCCCCGGGATCGTAGATACGAAGTGGCAAGAGTCCTGAGTTTGACCGAGAGACAGGTGAAAATCTGGTTTCAGAACCGCAGGATGAAGATGAAGAAAGAAAACAAACACCAGCGGAGAGACAGTTAGCGTGGCTTTGGACTGATGTGGGACTCCAGGATGAGGGGGGGGGGGGGGCACGGGAGAGCTGCCCGTCTTTAATGTTCCTGACCTGTTACGTTGTGTTGTTGAAAATGCTGGTTTCATGTTTGTGATATTGGACAAAGTGTCTCGTTAGAGTTTAGATGTGTAGTTTTTAGCACCGAAGTATTAAACTATTGGCCATTCGTTGTTTGCATGAAGTTATTGACTACCTGAATGTCTCAGCTACCTATTTTCATCGTTTAAGTTATTATTTTACAATGCAGATTGTTTCTTAACCATTTGTGGTTGGTATATTATTGCAAATATCTCGACGTTCCTGTTACATCCCCAAATAAAGACTTACTTGTCTTTTCAGTTCATGAAAAAATGATGGCTTATTATTTGTAATAATTTTACCAAATATATATACAACTTCATTGACATTGCACTGCTTTGTTTACGTACAATTTATTCACACACAATTAATCTTTACTTTTGTCAAACGTGTTTATCTGCAAAACCGGTTTTATTTCCAGGAAGAAAAAGATTGACATTGTACACTTTCATTAGGTCTTCTGGGTTACAACTATTAAATTTAACAGCCCCAACAATCACAACAAGCCACTGGAAAAACAATCCGGCCATCCAGATATTTGCCCAGAAGTTTTTTTTCCCACCTCACCGGGGGGAGCTTAAGGGGGCTTAATATTAATATTCGTAGACCCAAATAATAGGATTATTGAAATCAGGTTGGTTTCATTTGAGTGAAGCGAGTGATTTTGGAAGCAGAGAACCAAACTGAAACAGAAGGCAATAAAACCACTTAAAACAGAACGTTTTAGGTACATTTAAAACAGCGAAACACAGCACTCATATCATTTTGCTTTTTAAAATGGTCTTAATCTCACATGCATTGCTTTTCATTACATGTTTGGCATTTGGAAGTCCTGCAGACTGGATGCCCTCCTGCAATAAACAACGATCACGGCCTCAACTGTTTATAAGGTGCGAAAACGGCCACGCATGTAGGGGCTCTTTGACAGCAAAAAACAGCTAATAAGGCTCGAACAGACAGTCTAATATGTGAAATTACCTTAAAATGGGCCTAAAGCGCCGGGGTAAAATACGCGCGCGCACACACAAGCACACGCACACGCACGCACGCACACACACACACACACACACACACACACACACACACGCACGCACTTACAGACAGAATAGGAGGTGGCTTTGTCCGGACTGCAGATGGGTGAGTCTTAAAACGTCTAATTACTTTACAACCATAGTGACAATTCGTCTGTCTCTCAGAAACATCCGTCCCTGATTTTTTGGTCGCATTAGCAGAGCTCACAGAACAGGCACAACAACGCGTTTCACACACGGAAACCCGATCACAAAATCTATATGTCGTTTTATTTGTGGAATAACTGTAACATGACACAAAGAAAGACAAGGACAGTCAACAATGTTGTGAGGTGGGTTTCAGAGGTGAGTGCTGCTGTGCTCTGACAGCCAGCAGGTGGAGGCAGCAGCTCATCTGAAGAACAAACCCTCAAATTGGATGATGCGTTCAAGGCACACAACAGACGAGTCCTCATTTCAGAAGTGCACAAGGTATCTTATTCTCACCATAAAACATCATATGGCATGCATTTCTGTCTAGATCCGTATTTATAAGCGCTCCTTCACTTTTGTGTTTCATAAAAACAGTTTTTCCGTCGGCTAAATATCTGAATGCATCAAAATATCCTCACACATCAGAGATTCACGGTTACTGAAGAAAAAGGAAATAAATAAATAAAATATAAGTCCCTTACCACCAAAGGTCATCCACATGTAGCTCATTAAGCTGCTTATTCCTTTTGGGGAACCTTGTGAGGATAAGCATAATAAAAAATGGCATAACATACTGTGTCTAAAAGCTAGAAATCGTTGGTAAAGTCTCTTCGGTCAATATTAAATTGCATTCCTGTCTGACCCACCATGGCAGTGAATGGATATCACCCGTGCAAACGCCCATTTGAGGAGAGATGCTGCAGGAAAACAGAAAGTGGCCTGGCTGCGGTTTGCCGTGACCTCTCTCGACCCCTATACATCAAACCTCATGACACTGCTGTTGACAGAGGAGGCCACGAGTGAACTCTGGAGAAGTTCAGCAGAGTAAAGTCATGAGCACATGTGAGTCTGTTTCACTTATTCCCAATAGTCATGTTATTCTGGATGAAAGTGTCCCTTTAGCAATTTGTGAGTGTGCCCTACAAGCCTAACCCTATTTGCAAATAATGTATTCAAAATAATTTACTTGCCAATTAAAGCTCGTCCTGCATTGTTATTCCATTTGTCACTCTTAAATGACTCATATGTCTTCCTTAAAACGTATTCCTTTCCAGTTTTCCTTCAAAAGGCAACTCCACAATGAGACTGAAACATCTTATAACAGTGCATTCGTGTAGGTTTTATTCATTTTTTGTAACTTTTCATTGTTTTGTTTTCTTTGTTTTCCTGCAGGCAAACAAGTTATGGAGTGACCATATCTGAATTTTATCACGACCTTTTCTGCACACATTTGATGTGCAAAACAGTCTGATTTGCGGCTCTTCTGCACGCGCCTCGAGTATCTTCCGAATCTTCTCATTTCTCTACACGCAGAATATCATTTGATGACATTTATTGTAATGCAGCGTTATTTACGGACACAATGTGCAATCCAAACTGTTAGACAATTGGAAACTTATCATAACAAATAGAATTAAGGAAAGAGTTATAACCTCACGCAGGGTGAAGACAATTACGTTCTACCATGTTTTACACAGTGAAATACAAAGCCGATGTTCATTTGGTAGTGTTTTATCTCGAGTTCGGGTGTACATTTGCATCTCTCCGCCAGTCAATGGAAATACTTCTACGACAGTTGCGTTATAAATATTGTTGGTAGCAGGATCGGCCTGCGTGCTTTCCAGATGTCCGTCGTTGTCTCAGAACAGACGGAATACGCGCCGCTCCTCCAGACGTCATGGCACAGACCTAAAATAAATAGGCACCACAAAATGCAGTGTTCAATGCGTTTAAGTCCAAGATCACAGTTTCTGTCAAATACTATAGAGGTTGAGTTATCTTCTTCTTTCTTCACCTGTGTTTGTTTACATTAGCCGAAATCAAATGGAAAATATTTGGCCAATTAATATGGTTACATTAGATATCATATTAAGACAAAGTTCCACAATACATTCGTAACAATTGCAACACACACACATTTTAATTGAAAGGAAATATATTTAATTTCTAAGTCAGTCATTTACGTTTCTTTATAGTCTGTAGCGTAAAGGCGTGAGAATATCCGTCGTTCACGAGGTCTTAACGATCCTTACAAACATTAATATGTCATAATACACATATGAAGTATAGTATAGTATAGTATAGTATATCAAACATTTCAAGCAAATCTCTCCGAAATGAATTGTTTTTTTAAATCGAACAGGCCGAAGAAAGACGTGTTCACATCTGAGAAGGGTATGAGGGTGAATGGGATTTCTGCTGAATGCCAACACCCACTCACCTCAAAGCTTCCCCGTTCGTTTCCCTGCAACTAACCAAGTCCTTTCCACTCGTCAGTGATTTTTTTCTCAGCAGTATAGTCCATTTTGAAAACGAAAAGCGACCGAGTTTCGTCTTTACGTGTATTTCAGGTTAAGGAGCAAATGGGAGAAAAGCTTTGTGCGTAATGGCCGAGTTTCTCATCCGTGCTTCTAAAGAAATCCCCACTTTTCTAAATCGTACACTTCTCCTCCACCCCACCTAGAGAGGTGCTGTCCTCTTCCTGGCCATGATCTAATGGAGTGTCGGATGGTTTAAATGTGTTCTTAGGGCAAGGAGCTGTCAGACCTTTTGGCAGGAGAAAGATTGATCACACACAGGCTGCAGGGGTCTTTGTTTAGAGCCTGAGCAATAAACAACCATCACATCCGCACCTTTCCTCTGCCGCGCGGAACGGTGGCAAATCATGTGCACTTTCTGCTATTATCCATGATGCTGAGGGGTAAGGATGATGGCGTATGGGTCAATTTCATAGGTGAAATAAAAAAAATGAAATGGGATGGGATAAACGAGTGTCTGTCAAATAACTCAACATGACCGACTATTTCTCTTACAGAACTTTTCATAAAAATACTGTTTTATTGGATGTATGGGATTACACGAATTCACCCAATTTCTGATGAACTAAAACTCTCCATTCTCTCTCTCCCCCTCTCTCTCTCTCTCCCTCTCTCTCTCTCTCTCTCTTCCCCTCTCTCTCTCTCTCCCTCTCTCTCTCTCTCTCTCTCTCTCTCCCTCTCTCTCCCTCTCTCTCTCCCTCTCTCTCCCCTGCCTGGTGTGTGTGTTGGGGGAGGGGTTGAAGTGTTGGATGTCTGGTGCAGCTTTTCTTCTCCAGGCAACCTCAAGAGTATCGCCTTGGCGCTGATAACGACGGTGACACAAATGTGACGGCTGAAATGATTTGTGAGACACACACACACACACACACACACACACACACACACACACACACACACACACACACACACACACAAACACACATGCGCGTACCACGACTCACATGCGCACACTCGTACGACGGACTGCGTGGACGCGCGAATGAGGAGGTGTGTGTATGTGTGTGTGTGTGTGGGGCGTTGAGCAAACTCACCCCAAAACATGGGTAAATAAACCCCCCCCCCCCCCCTACCCCCGGAATGAGGCGTTACCCCTCAGACTTTCTCGATCAATCACAGGGGACAGTGGCTTCTTTTGATAAAACACCTAAATTGTCATTGGGCAGATGCAACCATGTGACAAGCGGCAGGGTCTAATTCCAACAATGTCCGCGTGAAAGCAATAGTTTATGGCACTGAGGTCTCCATAAGGCTACACCGACTTTAGTGGTTTATGACATTAGCCTGATTACTGAACTGAATCTGAAAATCGGCGAGTTTTCCAGACAAGCAGATGGAGATGAATTACGAATTTCGGCGAGAAAGTGGTTTCATCAACAGCCAGCCTTCGCTCGCAGAGTGCCTGACGTCTCTGGCCAACCCTGTCGGTGATGCTTTTCCAAATGCATCAATCAAGAGGTCGGCGCTTTCACGGTCGACACTGATTCCTCCTCCTTTTGAGCAGACCATCCCTGGCCTGAGCCCCGCTGTCCACCCACGCCACGGCCGCTTAAAGGACCCGCCGCGGGCTGCCAGCTCGCCCCCGGAGTACCCGTGGATGAAGGAGAAGAAAAGCATCAAGAGAATTCCGACTGCTGCTGCTGCTGCTTCGGGGACCACGGCGGACTCCTCGCCTCTCTACCTCTCCCCCCAAGGCAAGACATGATGATTAATACCCTCCATGCAAAAGGCTCCTCGTTGTCTGAGGATCCCCCCCTCAAACAGGGAGCTCTACGTCCCGGGCCGACGCTGGCGTCCCTTTAAGCCAATATGATATTTTGATTTAAGCTCGCTTCATCTCATCAAGTGACGCACTGACTCGCGATGCAGTGTAAAGTGTTAATGTTTGACAGTAATGGAGAGTGATAGATGGTTCTTTCACGGGCCAGCAGCTGGCATGTTCATTAATCTTCACCCTCGGTCCTGTCCTGTCCACACAGACCCATCATATTCGGCCCGGGGCCCATAAATCGTCCCAGTCCCGGTGCTTTCTTGCCACAAGTTTTCCACTTGTTTTTCCCCCCAAAACACACACACACACACACACACACACACACACACACACACACACACACACACACACACACACACACACACACACACACACGCAGCCCCAAAACCCACAACCGCACGAGTTTAATGTGTCCGATTCCAAATACAATCTTTGATTTATTTTGTTTAGGTTCACCGGAGGCGCCAGAGGTTTTGTTTGGCAGTGGAGGAGCATCCCGGAGGTTGCGAACCGCGTACACCAACACCCAACTTCTGGAGCTGGAGAAGGAGTTTCATTTCAACAAATACTTGTGCAGGCCGAGGCGAGTGGAAATAGCTTCTCTGCTGGATTTAACGGAGAAACAGGTGAAAGTGTGGTTCCAGAACAGGAGGATGAAGCACAAGAGGCAGAATCACTGCAAGGAGAACCGGGACAGTGAGGGGAAATACGCGTGCCTCGACGACGGGCCGGAGGACGAGTTTGGACAGGCAGTGGACAGCGGCGCAGCTGGCACGGTCCCGGACAGGGAGAGCTATTTCCACCTACATACCTTAACTTCACAACAGTGTCAAAACGGCCACAATGGGGAGCCCCAAAGCCCGGAGGTTCCGCCTTTGAACAGCAGTGAGAAAAATCTGAAACATGTTGCTCACCCTGCACCCACTGTTCCCATCTGCATGTCAACAATGGGCCTGGACAAAGATCATTCCTCGGGTCTGGACGTTTCTTTGACGGATTTCCACGTTTTCTCATCCTCCTCTTCTTTCTCGCCGAGTTTGTCGGATTCGGCACAAAGTCCCTTGTCTTTATCATCCGAAACATTTAACCTTTTCTCAGAAACACTCACAACAATCGACCTGCAGAACTTGAGCTATTAAGATATGCCAACAGGTTCTATTTGAATTCAGACTCTAGTGTGCGGTTTTTTATACTTAGTTTTAGCGTTAATAGATCTCATAAAGAAGGTAAGTTAAAACAAAAAGAAAAAGAAAAGATTATATATGGGGAGTCAATTCCATTAACCTGTAAGAAGACAGTTTATTTTTATGTGGATTTGACTATAACTGAGCAGAATATTTTTCGTGAAATAAAAGTTTACATTGATTGGAAACGCAACGGTATTGTCTTATTTCGCTGTGAGAACCTAGAGATCATAACTTTTAAACTCAAAATATTAAAAAATATCGTCCAGAAAAGAAAATAATAATCGCCAAGCATAATTAACGCTGAATAGTTGTACACAAATAAGAATACCATACACTGTTTAATTTGAAGGACACATAATTAATGATAGTTTTCTGAATGAGTCTATAAATCAAACTATACATATCGACTAAAATTAACTGAAATAAATAGCCGAAAAATGAGCTGTAAGCACTACAAATACAATTCAAGTGAAATAAAGTAAAATATAATCTAATGTAAAATGGCAGTTGCAGCCCAGTTTGCTAAAATGTTTTTTGTTTAGCAACGAGACCATGCTTACGCTAAGTTATTCATCGGACTAGAAAAATGGCACATCTTTAGTTAAAACCAAGAAAAATAGTATTTTCAGTAGTTGCTGCTTGCAGTCCCGGGCCAAAAGCTGTGACTTTTCTTGGCTCTGTAATGAAATTTTATTGCCAATAAAACTCACAGCACTGATGGTGCTTGTTTATTGCCCGATCAGCAACGTTACAATACCTTTGAAAGCAATAATTTCCCTTTATGCCATTATATTCTTTCAAAAGTTTTTGTAATTTAAATTATTATATGTGCCATTCAATAATATATTTTCCCCAAATTGTTTACATTTTGAATTGACATTGTTCTATACCCACAACGCGGTAGATAAAATACACATTTAATTGGCTACATTAATTTACAGTCATTTGTTTAAAGGGAAGTAATTTGTATGTTAATATGGACCAAATGGATTCCGTTAAAAGGAAATCTTCCCACCGACCGGTTCGATAAAGCGCGCACGAAGCCACAATGTCACAGCTGTGATAGCTGTTTTTATTTTTTTTTATTAGGATACTGATATTAAATCTTCAGGGGAAATGGTCGATGAAAAGCCATAGTTTGTTCCGGGAATCACAAGATTAACAGTCACATTGATCAATTACTTTGACCAGAGTCTGCAGGCGACGTGATTCATGTTCAGACTGCGGTTTGGGCGGTTGGACTTCGTAGCCATAATTAAAAAAAGAGGTGGTGAACTATTCGCATTGAGACATGGTGCTGCGTGATGGCTAATTGCGCGCCTTCTGGAAATAGGCCAAGTCCCAGAGTACCAAGAGGCAGATGGAAAGACAGATTTGGTTGGTTGGTTTTGTGCTACAGAGATCATTGTTTACCGTGTCTGCACGTCAGTGTCTGCACGGTCTTTTAAACACGTGTTTATTGTTTACCACCGAGTCAGTCTCTTTTCAAGGAGCATAGGACGCACCATGCTGTACCCTTTCTTTTCACATTCACGGATTTCATCTTTACAGCTCTACAGTTAACAATTACATACTTGAATTGATTAATTTCCTTATTATGGTGGTTACATTAACGTTTGGTGGCTTTGAGCAGCTTTGTGTTCCATTGAATCCTAAACGTGTAATGAGTTCTTAAAAGGAAAGGAACCAATCAAAAGAAGCTTTAAGGGAAATACGATACAACACTTTGCCAGCAGATTCCGCCTTCAACGTACACACGCACTCACACACACACACACACACACACACACACACACACACACACACACACGGGTCGAAGGTCAAGCTGGCTCTCCTTTCCTCTCCAAGCTGGAAGGAACTACTGCCGAGTCAGAAGGGGGTGAGGTTTTGAATGACCTCAGAGGAATATGTAGCTCATAAAGAATGCACTGGTTACTCAGAAAACTCCGAGCAGGAAGTCAGAGTGTGTGTGCAGAGAAAATAATATTCATGCAGAATATGATCATCGCTGAGCAATGCAAGCATACACATCAACTGACAAATAGACTTAAATGGCTGGTGTTGTTTGGCTCAGGATGATTCTGAGTAAACATCCATGACATTTTCACACTCAATCAATGGAGAAAAAGTGCACAGAAAAATGCATCACTGTTTTTCTGCCCTTACGGCAGCAAACTGCTCCCACTGTGCGATGGGTTAAAATGCAATGAAAGGCGCTTTAGAAAAAAGCGTCAGCTAAATGACCTGTAATGTAATGTAATCTTTGGATTTATATCACCATGACAACGTTTCCTAAAAGAGACACATAAACCAATACGGACCAATATTGTGTGGATGGTCTTCTCAATGTTGGACTGAAAGTGGAGTAAGTGGGCAAAGGTTCAACACCTGCAGATGAAGTGAAAGCTAAAGCTTTTCCACACAGCCCCTCCAGAGCTGCACTGACATGTCTGTGTCATTTCTCCACAACAACAGTATACAGTTCAAAGGCTCACTGTCGAAAGACGACTAGTGAATGACTGACAGCTTCATAAACAATATGACAACCGGCTGCCTTCACTGATCACAGTCGGCACAGGTTTCACTTTATATGAGTGAGTTCTTGTTTTATTTTTACTTTGTCGTACCCTGATACGGTGATTGAATCGGACCCGGGCTGGAAACATTGTATTGGTCGTTGATTGCATTGATTACAAACTGACTCACAAATGACAAATGTTGTAAAGACCAAATGTGCAGGAACACACCAGCAGACGTGGCAACGGCTCCTCCAAACACTTGTTGCTCAAAGGCAAAAGATAACAGGCAGAGAACAGTTTGATATATTCTCCTCAGCCCAATGACCCCTGTTTAGATTTAAACTGTTAAATGAATCAAAGTGCTCGCATCAATGTAAAGACACTCCAACGTGTCCAACGTGTCAGACACCAAAGAGCCAGAGAAATATGATCTGGAATCAATCAAAAATATGATCATGTGTTATCCGCCGACTTTATTGCTCTGTAAAGACTCGTTCCTCCATTAAAGCATCAACTCCCAGTTGGCCAGACCAGAACTATTTATTCATATATACTAGGGAGATAAACAAACAAAAAAAACAAGACACAATCAGAAATACACAATAAAACGTGGATTATTATTATTATTATCCACGTGTTTACTGTGTATTTCTGCAGCGGAACTGTGGTCAATAATAAATGATGAGCGGAGTCACTTCCGCGTGCAGTCGTCGCTGCTTCCGTGTCACATGAAGTTCCCGTCGCCGGACAGTCCGCCTCCGAACACACAACTCTCATCACGATGCAGCCGATCCCCGAAAAGTTCACCACGCTGATTTCAGGTAAAACACCTTCACCTAATAACGTTTACTTCACCCACGCAGGTTGTTTTCTCTTTTCCATTTCGGACTCACGAAACCCAGATTTTAACAGACCGTTTTGTAGTAAAAAAGAAAAAGGGGAAGTGCGAAGCCAGTTTGCATGACAACGTTGTCAGTGAGATGTAGACTTTCGAGAGTGTTTCTATTTCCTTCGTGCTGACGAGTGTTAATGCTACAAAGCTGCTGCGGAGGGGGACGTGATCTCCAGCAGTGCGTTGCCATTCGGCTGTAAAATAATCAACCAGTAAGTGTGCACACATTGCATGAATGTTTTACCTGGTGTTTCTTTTTGGTTTGCTTCTAGACCTTGAGTTTTTCCTCTGTGATGGATTAAAAGGGGAAAGTCTAAGCAAGAAGGCAAAAGAGAAGAAGGACGCCTTAATCAAGAGGATTAAAGAGGCCAAGTTGAGGTGGGTCGTCTGTTTGCATTTACTTCAGATTCTGGTTTTAAAGATCTTACTGCAAAGCATAATCCTTATTTCTGTCTCCCCCAACAGTTTCCCACAAGATTTTAAAGACAAAAGTAAGTGTTTTACATTTAATGTGTCAGTGTTTCCATCCGGAGAGTCAGGAGCCACACAAAGAGGTCTCAGCATGAATCTAAGGGATGCCAAGATTAAAGAAAAATGTATTTAATCAGGATGAACCCCTTCAAATGCGTCATTCATTTTTTAAGTATCACATTGTGCCTTCAAACCGGTCTTCGGAAAATCCTTTTACAACAGATTGGCACCAACTGTCTTAAAATATAACGTGTACACTTTGCTGCACTTTTTAGGCGGAGATGACTCAGACAACGAGGAGGAAATCGACAGCAACAACGATGGAGGATCGATGGTGTCAGAGCGTGCAGACAAAGATGAAGAGGCTTTCGAAGGTAAGCACTTGGCTAACATTATCAAGCTTTGGATCAAGTTCCCGAAGCGTGCTTCCCCACATTAAAATATACAAATCTTTGGGTGTGCTCCTGGGGGGGGACTTTGATCGGCACAATGAGGAAAGCATTCCAACTGTAACCTGGCAACATACTTGGGAAGCAATTTAGGGGGCAACAACCACTACTCCCACCACCTCTTTCGCTCCAGCGCTTCGACAGCGGGCTGAATGCTTTATTGCTCTCAGCTGAACCTCAGGGCCTCGGTAGTTTGAGGAAAAAAACATGCTTGGATATACAGTAGCTTTTAACCTTGTATGACCAATCAGGAAAATGTGCAAGATTTTGTATTTGCTTGTATAAATGGTGATTCTGTGAAATCCCAGTGAAGTGGCTATTAGGGCTCCGGGGTTTATGGCCTGCAAGCAGCTGCCACTTTTATGGCCGCTCTTTCACGCAAAGCAACTTTGACGCAGCAGTTGAACATTTGCATTGAAGTTGCGGGGGGAATATCCTCCAGCGATAAGCAAAGTAGTGCTTAGTTGAGCTTTTACTACTTATTTGAATGCCAAATGTATACACAATGGATTAAATGCACAACCTCACCTGTTTCTTTAAGTAATTGCACCTTTTACATACGGAAAACCCTTTTCTCCACCAGGGGCCCATCAGTTCCCACCCATGGCGGCTCAGGACTTGACGTCGGTCTTTAAAGCGGGACACCTCGAGAAGCGCAGGAAGGGTGGGTGCTTTCATCAGTTCTAATGGAGACAATGTCGCACACTTAAATCTACACGCTCCAAAAAAAAAAAGGTCCTTGTTGAGATTGTTGTTGTTTTTCCTCCCCAGACCACAGTTTCTTTGGCACCGAGTGGCAGAAGAGATGGTGTGCTCTGAGTCATCATATCTTCTATTATTACGGCAGTGAAAAAGGTATTTCCTTTTTTTTCTGCTGCTTTTTTAAATATAGATTGTGAGTCACAGCACACTGAAGCGGATGTGTGATTGGCATTCGGCTTTTCCACAATTGTTGTATTTGAATAATTAATGCTGACGCTTTAATATCCTATAACCAGACAAGCAGCAGAAGGGGGAGTTCAGTATCGACGGGTACACTGTCAAAATGAACAGCACCTTACGGAAAGACTCAAAGAAGGACTGTTGCTTTGAAATTTCTGCTCCAGACAAGCGAGTCTATCAGGTGCGCTTGTCTCGTGGTGACCATTTGAATCCCTGCTGTTCTATGTGTACTACCTGTCTCAATAAAAAAACAAATGTGGACTTCAGATAGATGTTTTCAAAAAAAAATGACACGGCATATTTGTACCTAAGGTCATTAAATTGTTATTTTTAAAACCCATTCATTCATTTGACACAGCGGCCTTTGTAATGGCTGTACCAGACACGCATATTTAACAAGCCTAAAATGAGTGCTTCTAACATTCACGCTCTTCCATGCGGAACATTTTACTATGCATAAATGCAGTATTATTTGTTTATGTTAATTCATATATGTAGAACTATTGCGCTGACTGACGTTATAATTTCTCTTTCATTACAGTTCTGTGCGTCATCGTCCAAAGAGGCGGAGGAGTGGGTGAAACAGATAGACTTTGTTTTGAGAGGTTTGAACCGTTTTTGAATGCTAAAAAAAAAGCATCATGAGTTTTTGTGTATTCGTCAAATGTACTAATTCCTGTTTGTAGATATGTGCGGCATCATCCCAGAAGATGAGGAGGAACCGGAATTGTACGACGATGTTGGAGCAATTGAAGATAAAGTGGAGTCTGAGCCGATTGACGATGACATCTATGAAATGCTCCCAGGTCTGACCTGCGTATTCCTCTGCCCGCGACATAATCATAGCTCCTCTCGTCATATCACACACTCATCCATTTAATATATTGTCTTGTTTCTCCAGAGGAGGACTTGCCCACTCCAGCAAAGCCTCCTCCGAAGTTTGAGCCAGCCATGAAACCTGCTCCTCCTCCTTCAGGTACAAAGTAAAGACATTTGTGTTTGTCCTGCACAGACTGGTGTGTTTGGCTTGTGGGTTAGAGGGTAGTAACCTTTTCTACATTTAGCAAAAGAGTCCGCAAATTATAACACCCTCTTTTAAATTGAACCTTCTGCTGCAGTAAAGAAGAAGTGAGATTTCAAGAGGAAGTTACAATGCAGAGTTAACAATGCTGTTGGCCGAGTTGGCCAACTTCCTTTTGCAATAGGTAACGTATTAAAAATGTGTGCAAAAATAGCCTGCCGTTTCCCCCCTCTACTTATTTCTATTCAAACTTTCCCTATTGCATTAACACAACCCGAGGTTTGCTAAGAAGCAGGTATTGGTCCACTTTAGATCAAAAAAACTAACCCTTGTTAGTAAAACCCCCAAATCTGTTACTAATTAGACAGAACATACTGCTATACATAAGCAGTGCAAAGGCAAACAATCTGAGGCAATATTTGTAATTGTCAATAGTAATTTTGTCTACAATATCTCAATTTATGAAGCAAATGTCCTTTAACTGTGACGTCAAGAGATTCAGTTCAATTAAAATAAAACCGAGAAAAGCAGAAAATCCTCCAAATGTAAAAAAATAAGTTTTTTTTAAAATCTTCAAATCTTGATTAATTCATTCCTGACTAATCTTCTGTCATTCAAATAATCAACCCATGGTCTTTTTTTACAATATCACTGCAAAGGAATCCAGAGAAGGACACAGCTTATAGTTTTGTTTTTTCGCTTCTTTAACCTGTAATGTTAAATGTAAGTGTAAAAGCAGCGTAACTGGAGCTGAGATGTTTGAAGGCCGTGGCCGAATTGATGTCCCGTAAATATACGGTATAACGTTGGCAAAGTGTGTGTGTGTGTGTGTGTGCGTGTGCGCTCTCCTATAATGAAGAGACTCATTTTGAAGCCATGATATTTTTTTACTGTTTTGAGCGTACTCCCTTTTGTCTCTAGTGTTGACATGCTAAACACCTTGGCTGTATGAACTTGGCATACAACTACTGTCTGCCTCCAGTTCTATTTCAGGCTCTCCACTGCCTCCTGTTGGTCTGGCTGAACATGAAAAACCCCTTTTTATCTGACCATTTTTTATTTTACACTCTCCATAGTAAGTAAAGCACCTAATCAATTTCCCCCCTTTGCTTGCAGTTGATAAAAGCACAGACTTCCCCAACTTCTACCAGGGCTTATGGGACTGCACAGGGGACCACCCAGATGAGTTGTCCTTCAAGCGTGGAGATGCCATCTACATATTGAGCAAGGTATGGTCCAGGGTCAACATTGATTTGTCCCTTAGTGGGTGTCTTCTTGAGGGAGGGAAAGTAGCACGAGCTCAAACCCAATCGTGATGAGACGGCGTTCGTAGCGGGAGTGGTTCTACTGGGCTCAGACCACCTGAAGTGAGTGATTTCAAAGCCCCCACTGTTCATATACTTTACTGGCAGCACCCGGCCCCCCTGGCCTGGAGGCGGACGGCCGACGGTAAGCGGCGGACTGCGCTCCCGGGCGCGGTGCTGAAGATTAGTCGTGTCACAGCGGATACTGTTTTAGTGCTGCTGGCGGAGGCTGAGCTCTGCTGGCACACATCGCCATTCCATCACTTCCATCCGCGCCGCTTCAGCACGCGGCTGCTGCCACGCCGAGGCGGTGAGCGGCCCTCAGCCCACACACCTCCCAGGCGTTTCTCTCACCTCGCCAAATAGGAATGTATGTTCTCAGGAAACCTGAGCTCGGCCGCCCACTCTATTTCAGAGCAGGTGAGGACGTGCAGTGGACGCACAATTTCCGAGGCTTGTCGGCCAGCTGCGGGCGCCAGGTATTGAGAACTGAGGAGCC